ACGGACCAGCCTCTGTTTGTGGTGAGCCTGGGCCCTTCATGGCTAGACTGTTCTTCGGCAGCGCTGGGAATAGGGCAGGCGGCTCCGCATGAGCCGACATGTATGGGGAGTTGGCTTGAAAGTCAGCTCCTGCATATACCAGCTCCAACTTGTCCCCTCTCACCCTCTGCACTGCTGCCTCTAGCAGAAGCAGCAGCACTGGAGGGAGGGGAAAGGCAGCTTCTCAGATCCTGTGCTCGTGGGGAACCAGCTTAACAGCCAGCTCCCCATTGTACTGGGCCCTCTTTACCGCCTCCCCCTTTCTATCTGATAAAGTAAGAGAAGGAATGTTTGTAGTCCATAAGATTAACAGATAAGCCTAAGCTTATCAGTTGATTGGGTATTTAACTACACATTGACATCCCCAGTGTTTATTACTCAGCTGAAGTTACTACCTATTGGAGATTAGATCTGTGACCACACTGAATTTATATAGGAGTTAAGATTTTTTTTTAGACATTATTTTGTAATCTACAGATACGAGGCCCATTTGGCATAAATTAATTCAGAGTTAAATGTGTATTCCTGTTTGTGTAACTTTGCATTTGTGTTGTTGCAGCACCAGACAAGCAGCTATCATTAATTGCCAGCATTTAGGTTTTCCTTTTAATGCCTAGTACATTTGAGGGGAAAAGAATAAGTAAGAATTTCAATTTCCTTTTCTTCTCCCACATTGTTACTGAAATATTGGAGTGTTGTTTTTGCATTTGGACCCATTTAATGTTTCAGTATATGATTTCAATTCTCTATCAAGAGTGCTTTCAGAGCTTTCCATGCTTTCCATGGAGCACAGAACTAGGACATCGATTTGTTACAAGATAGCATTGGAACTAAGAACTGAAGCGAAATAATTTTAATCTTTCTGGATGTCCATGTTACATAAAGCAATAAAGAATATAGAAATAGGCAAAGCACACACAATCTTAAGAAGGATAGCTAATACTAGTTAGTTCTGGCTTTCTTAAGGATTAATATATTTCATATGATCATAGGGTTGCAATAGAAAAACTTCATTCAATGGACGATGCTTTTAGAAGACAGCTTGAGTCAACGTTAGCAGCTCATCAGGCAGAATTACTGCGGCTAGCAAATGAAAAACAAAGGCAAATTGAAGCAGCAAATGAAAAGGTATTGTATTTTAATAAAATGTTATTGGGCTTCCAATCTGTATTTTCTGTCCCAATATTGTTATATGCTATACAGGCAGTCCCCGAGTTACGCGGATCCGACTTATGCAGACCAGGGAGACGGGGAGCAACGCAGAGCAAAGCCGCGGAGCCCGAGGGCAGCAGGACAGCCACGGCGCGTCTGGGCTGTCCCGCTGCCCCCGTGCTCCGCGGCTTTGCTCCGGATGCCTGTGGTACAGCAGCTGGGGCGCTGTCGGTTGGTCCCATAGCGCTGCTCTGGGCGCTACTGGACCAACCCGGCAGCACCCCAGCTGCTCTGCCCCAGGCATCCTGATTCAGCCACTGCTGCTTCAGTTTCAGCAGCGGCTGAATCTGGACGCCAGTTCCGACTTACATACAGATTTAACTTAAGAACAAACCTACAGTCCCTATCTTGTACGTAACCCGGGGACTGCCTGTAATCTTTTTGGGTGTCTGTGTTGGCTAACCATTGACAAAAGCATTACTGACGTTGAACTTTTAACCTTTGCCTAATAATGGATTACCTACAAGTGCGTAGACAATAGGCTGACTTGGAATATTCTTTTATTCAAGGAACATGCAATCACTATCCAGTGCATGAACATCCCTTAATTATTAGAGAGGCAAGAAAAATGGTGCTCAAGTATTTTATATGACACTGAACCTTTTTTTATAGCTTTTATAATTCTGGTGATAGATATGAGACATTGGAAGCATGCAAACTACAAAAGACTGCTATGTTGAACTGTGCCAGTGCATTAGTCATAAACTTTCCTACAAATGTTACTTGTATTTTCATGAGCTAGGGATTGTGTTCTTGCTCCCTAGTGGAGGTTTACTGATTTTCCTCCAAGAACAAAAATCATTTGGGAGCAGGATGGGTTGATTTAAATCTTGGTCTTCAATAGTGGTTTGAAGCAGGAACTTGCATTACATTTATTTTTGACTTGTTTTCAGTTTGTACTTTTTAATTGTTTTCCTAAAGTCGGGTTGATTCTCATGGTTGGTAATCATTAAAACATATTGGCTGTGTCTACATTGGCACGATCTTGCGCCAAAGCGTCTGCTTTTGTGCAAAAACATGCTGCCTGTCTACACTGGCCGTGAGTTCTTGCGCAAGAACACTGACGTTCTAATGTGTGAAATCAGTGCTTCTTGCACAAGAACTATGATGCTCCCGCTCAGGACTAAGCCCTCTTGCGCAACTGTTCTTGCGCAAGAGGCCAGTGAAGAAACATGAATTTCTTGCGCAAGAAAGCCCCGATGGCTCAAATTGTCATTGGAGCTTTCTTGCGCAAGAGAGCGTCTACACTTGCATGGATGCTCTTGCGCAAAAGCACATCTCTTGCACAAAGGCACTTGCGTTAAAGAGTATTTGCGCAAGATCCTGCCAATGTAGACGTAGCCATTGACTTTAAACTACATGTAGCCTTTACGCTAAATTTTATGCTTTTTGCTAAACAGGAAGGCTGTGTCTACACTGCACCCCTTTTCCGGAAAAAGGATACAGATGAGACAAGTCGGACTTGCAAATGCAGCGGGGATTTAAATTTTCCCTGCTGCATTTGCATGAACATGGCTGCCGCTTTTCTTCCGGCTCGGGGCTTTGCTGGAAAAAAGCGCCAGTCTAGACAGGGATCTTTCGGAAAATAAAGCCTTTTCCGAAAGGTCAAAAGGGGTGCAGTGTAGACACAGCCGAAGAGGATACACATTTAAGCAGTTTTGTAGTTCAACTTTAAATTTATTCAGCTTCTATTTACATTGTATGTTAAAATGGTGACTAATGCAGTATATACTTACTAGATAATTTTTTTTACTTAAGATTTGTAAAGCCATTGGGAGCTTCTTTTTGGCACCTGAACCAGGCTAAATCCTTCAAGCTAAGGAATGCTCAAGACCCTGCACTCCTCTTCGCCTTCCACAATCCCAAGTAGCCCAATGCATGGCAGAGACTTGTGGGGGTCCGAAGCCCCAAGCCCAAATCCTGAGGGCTTCATCCCTGGGCAGCAGGGCTCAGGTAACGCCCCTTGCCTGGGGCTGAAGCCCTTAATTTTCAACATTGTGCTCTGTCTCCTGCAAGATGGTGGGGCTCTAGCAGGCTCTGGCTTTGATCCTCCTCCTGGGCTTGTGTAGTCATTTTTGTTGTCAGAAGGGGGACGTAGTGCAATTAAATTTTGAGAACTCCCTGGCTTTACCCAGTCTTGTCGTCTTTTATAACCTGTTTTCATGTTGCACAATTGTTCATAAAAGTTCCTTTTCCTCATACTACTGCTGTTGCCATATTGGTCATATATATCAGTTCAGGATGTTAATATGTGGTTATCAGGCTAATTGTATCACCTATATGATTAGTCAGTAGGACCGTTCCGCAGAGCCATAGCAGGGGGTAGCTCCAGGAGCCGGCTTGAGCTGGGACTGAGCAGTCCCTGCCCATGCCAGCTCTGGAAGCCACCTGTGCTGCGGCTCTGCATTTTAAATGTGGTAAGAGCCACTGGGCAGTCGCACCTAGTGTGGATTGCTGCATACCAGCTCATGCTGAGTTAAACAGTTCCTGTGTCCATCGCAAACGGGGTGGTGCTGGAGCAGTCTCTGTTCATAGTAGACGAGGCTGGCTGCTGCAAACAGAAGCTGCTCTGGCACCACCACTTATTCGCAGCAGCCACTGGAGTGGAGTGGCCCCTGGCTGAGGCCATACCTGGCTGCTGCGAACAGTGGCTGCATGGCGGCAGTAGCCTGTGTTCGCAGACAGGGGCTGCTTCACAGCAGTTTCCCTAAACCCCCCTCAGCAGCACCCTGGAGACGGTGGTGGGGGGGAACCAGCTTTTAAGCACCAAAGGAGGTGGGGGGTGCCGCTGCAGGGAGCACGGGGCCGAAGCAGCCACAATGGGAACACAGGGTAGCTGGGGAACTATGGGGCTCTTGTACATTTCAGCGGCTAAAGTGGCCTCAGTAGGAACCGGCGCGAACAGGGGACTGTTTCAGCCCCTACTTACACCGTTTTCTCTTCTGTGCCCCTGGCCACCCCACAGAGATGGTGCTGCGGAGAGCCAACTTTTAAGAGGCAGCAAGGGGGAGGAAGCGACTGGTCGTGTCACTACTCAACTATCCAACACATTTATGCTTATTGGATTGTCGACTAATATCCCTAATATTGGTTCCCCAGCTGTGCCTGCTGCAGCAGCCATGGACAGGCACTTCTCACCTGGCCCCAAGCTGCTGCAGTGAGAGAGGCCCAGGTTTGTCCTGTCTCCCTGGAGCAGCCCTCATCCCCAGACCAATCCCAGAACAATTATTTAAATGAAGAAAAACAAAGATTATTTGAGTTGAGGATCCGAGCTGGGTAAATCTTCTAGTTAAATATAAGCAAGATTACTTTTCCTTCAGAATGTTAAATACCGGTTAATTTACTAGTTGAGTAGTCAATGGAATTTCCATCAACTAGTCAATAGGCACTTTCACATTCCTCCTTTGAAATGTACAAGGGCCCCTACAGGGGACCTTGTACATTTCAAAGGAGGAATGCAGAACTCCAGGTGAAGCCCGGGCCAGCAGGAAGTCCTGCTGACTCCAGGCTCCACGCAGGTGCTTCCGCTTTGAAAAGCGCAAGGAGCCCATGGACTCCTTAGCTGATTCTGGGTTCTGCGGAAATGGCCCCAGTTGACACCGGGCTCCATGCAGCGCTGCTGCTTTGAAACGCTGCCAAGGTTGCCACTTCAAAGTACTTTCTCTCCCTTCTACCTCCTTTGCTGCCTCTATCTGATAGATTTCCTATATAATTCTAACACGAGGGTTGAATTTTTATATTTGTCTTTTTATCATTTCAGGTTTACCATGTTGAAGAAGAAATGCGTCAGCTTCTGCAAGAAACAGCAAACAGTAAAAAGGTAATGGAAGAGAAAATAAGACGACTTACAAGTGCACTGAGTGACATTCAGCAAGATCTCTGAAATGTGTAATGCATTAAATCTGACTGTTGTGCTTCTCTTAATAAAAGGAGTTGAAGTAATGTAAAATATATACATAAACAAAGACATTGTATAGATTGTTTATATAGTTTGTCAAACTACTTGCTGTGCTTTTTAGTTTCCTTTAAAACTGATTCCCAGAGAGGAATTTTTATTTGTGTAATCTTATTTGAAGAGTTCAAGAATCAAAGATGTATTAAAGATTTATATAGTATTTTCATACTGGTGGTGTACACGTCTTAGTATTTGTGTCAGAGCTGTCTAAGAAATAGGTCAACCAAATCAACAAATGAAAAGCACTGTATGAGTTAAAAATTATTTTTAAGAAAGAGCAGATGGAGTAAGTATGAAGTAAGGATATGAAAAAGAATTAGGCTTGTCCTTCGTGTAGTTGGGTTCTTTAAGTTAAGCAATCATGATGCTCATGTCCTTTTAATAAAACACAGATTGCACCCATAATCAGTTGAGAGACTTTTTAATAACACATATTGTATATGACCGTTTTGCATATCTGGAGTTAACACTAACATTCAGAGATAGCATGAGTTATTACTGTTCTCTCAGAGAAAAGAGAAATCTTGTTTACCTCATCAGTTTCTGAATATGTTCTGTAATTTCTCCTAAACATTACTTTTCAAACCTGATGCTGGTCCTTGATGTCTTTCATACACTATGCTGTTTGTTTCAAAGGATGCATTCTTGTTGCCATTCCGTGGTCCACACTGATGGAACAGCTTATAGCTTAAAGGTCTAAATAAAGTTCTTAAGATCAGGAATTTACAGTTGTAAATATGAGCTCAATTATACTGAGGCTTAACAAACAGGTACTACTAAAAACATACTTGATATACTGTAGGATAAGTGTCTGTTCCCCAACCATTGCCAATCTGGGCTCAGGCTGGGTGGAACCAAGGCAGAGGTGCGTCCCCCCGCAGTCATGGGAGGGGTGCCTCTCTCCCGGACACAGTAGCTCTGAGCTGCAGCTGGTTTTAGGCCAGGGGAAAGGTGCCTATCCTCTGCTACTTCCACCTCCCCAATCTAGGTCCAGTTGAGCAGCTATAGGAAAAAGGATAGAGACAAGGGGTCTAATCAGCATCGCTCATCGTCCTCCCTTCCATCTGCTCAACCTTGCCCTTGTAGGAGCCAAGGAGGCCAGAAGGAGGCATTTTGAGGGTACACTCAAGGATGACACTCCAGTTACATCTCAGGATCCACCCTCCTCTTTCCTCAACCGCCTGCACTATTTCAGTCAGCCTAGTCATGGCTGACCTTAGCTCATCAGGTGTTCAACATAATATTTTTGGGTTACACCTTGCAGTTCATTGCTGATCCTCCCGCCCAGCCTTTCCCTGTCCCTCTGCAGCAACCTTTCTCCCAAGCAGTTTCTCATTCAATAAGTTAAGAACCTCTTGCACTTGGGGGTGGTTGTGAAGGTCCCTTGGGCATGAAAGGAAAAGGATTCTACTTCCTAATCCCAAAAGCAAAAAGGGGGCCTCCAGTGCCATTTTTGGACCTGTATTGCCTTAACAAGTCTCTCAAGTTGAAGTTTTGCATGAGCTTTCTGTCCATTATCCCCTCCCTGGATCTGGGAATCTAGTATGCTGCCTCACTTGAAGGATGCATATTTTCATATTTCTATTTTCCCAAGTTCTCATTACAGAAAGCTCCAGCTTCAAAAAAGAGCTCACCTGACTGGGGATATTTGCCATAAGAAGGCCTATTGTGATGGATAGGAAGAACTAACAGATCTAAAAGAGGTTCAGTTTGGATAGTGTCGTAAGGAACAGAATAAAGTGCTAAGGTAGTGTGCTATGACCTGCACAGCTAAAGTATGGTTGATGCCCTCATTAAACATTTACTGTTAAGAACTGTACAAAAATTCCTTTTCATAAACAGGCTTAGGATTTTATACTACAGAGACTTGATTTTTTTGTTTGGACACTATTGTATACTCACAATAAAGTCCTCCTCTGAGCAATCTGGCCAGAGGAGCACAGCGAGGGGGGATTGACCCCCTGTTGTGGGCACCAGACACCCTACCTACTGATTGCTGGCCATCCCTTTGCCCCTCCCACTTTTGAGGGACTTTACCCCTTGTAAAGCCCTCCCTCCCCCCCCCCACACACACATGTTGTCTATGTGATTAAGCAAAATGATGACCAAAACTAATAGAAGCCTAAGCCCCATTTACATAGGAAGTCAGCAAGGGGATGGGGAAGCCCTCAGGAAGGGAAGAACAGTCCTAGGTCACCCTACCTCTTGAAACTAAGTCACTGAACTTTGGAAGATAAAGACAGAAACTGTCTTTGGCATTCATTACTAGAAACACAACAGGGAGCAGAGCTCTTGTGAGTTGAGAGAGCCCCTTCAGTCAAAGGTGACGTGGAGTTAAATATCTGAAAAGAGGTAAGAAACCTGCCTACACAAAAATCTTTCACTTAAGGTATGTCTACACTATGAAATTAGCATCAGATTTTATAAAATCAAAGGTGCATGTCTGCACTAAACCTGTTCAGTCAACAGAGTGTATCCCTACTACCATTCACTATAGCCATGTCTACACTATGAGATAAGGTTGAATTTATTAATGTTGACTTTTTAGCACCAGATTTTGTAACATCGTTGGTGCATGTCCCCACTGTATGCAAGAATTTGTGATAGTTCTAAGTTGCGTGTCCCCAGCAAAGTGACTTTAAGAACAATGCACAGTGCATAGTGCCTACATACCTTTGCATTCTGGGTTATGTTCTTAGTGCCTGGGACCAAAACTGTGCAGCGGGTGGGTCTGGGTACATGTTGTCAGTGTTCCATACTGCACTCATTTTCTCGCTTCTCCCCTGCTCAAGAGGAATGGCAAACAGTCTTTTCATGCCCATTTTTCCCTTGGTTATCCACGCAGATGCCATAGCAGCTTAAACATGGATCTCCTCCTGGATCTCATTGAGCATCAAACATGATGATGATGATGATTTTAACCTTGGTGTACCTAATGCTGAAGTATGTCCAAAGTGGATCCAAGATCCACAGGAATGAGGACGAATCTCAGAAGGCCATGAACATACTCTTCTGTGAAGCATTTGAGTTAAGCAAATGCAGGGCACAGCAGGGCCATGCTTTACTGGGGATGAGCAAAGGGAAATTTATTGCAGAGGCATTTGCTAATACAGGGGTCAGCAACATACGGCTTGCGAGCCAAATATGGCTTACTAAGGAGCCAGATATGGCTCTTTAGAACCTAAATCACCAGGGGACAGAGGTGTTTTATTTGGGGGCCACATCAGTGAGGGTTGGGAGTTTTTGGAGTGGGTTTTTTCTCTCCCTTGTGTGGTCCTCAACTGATTTTTCTGTGGGTCAATGGCTGCTGATCCAAAGAAGGTTTGCCACCCTGCTATAAATAAAGACAATGTTGAAATGTTTTGTGCTGGACATATTTTTACTTTAATTAAAAATGAAGCCTGTCCAACAAGCCTTCAATTGGGCCCCAGCTTCCATCAGGCCGCAGCATCATAACACTCCTGCACCCCCACCGAGCCTGTCATACACTTGAACCCCTGCTCTGAGCCCATCATACACCGAATTTAAATTCAGATTTAAATCAATCTATCCTAATCCGGAACTATAACCATGTAGTTTAATGAGTATCATTTCCAGTAATTATCCTCTCTTCTCTTGAACAAAGGACATTTGTCAGACATTCCTCTGGTTACTTTTATCAACTATCACTAGAGCATTGGCACCTAAAAGTCTTCCCATTGACTTTTGTGATCTTTGAATCAGACTTTTGGAATGCCATGTAAAAATAGGTTTTTCCCCCCTATAGTTTTTGTAGCTAAGCATACACGAAAATCCAATTAAAGGAGTACATGAGCACGTGCATTCACACCCTTCCCTCCCAAAAATATGCTTGCAACAAATGCATACATAGTTGGGGGGGAAACCCATCCCCGGGCGCCCGGCGGGCGAACGGCCACGCCCCCTGGCGCCCGACAACCTCAAAAGGTTGGGGACCACTGGTCTACACTATGAGCACAGAAAAACTGCTGTGGGCCTGTTTGTTTTCCACACACTGTGAGGGAGGAGGGAGGAGGGAGGAGTGCCTCATGGCTGTTCCCGCCCCCAGCGTAATCCCATTGGCTGGTTCTGGCCCAGGGACGCTGCCTGTTTCAAGAACAGGCAGTGCTGGAAGCAACTCCCCACCCTCAGGCTCTTAGTCACCAAGCACATGGCAGGGCAGTCTCCTGATGAAGAAATGGGCTGAGCTGCAAGTCTCACTAGTAAGTGACTTGGCCAGAGTCTGCCTCTGGCATCCCAGCCCTTCCCTCCCACACCCACTAGTACCCTGCTCCTGCCTCCTCCCCCCTGGCCAGACACTCCCAGTTTGCTCCTGCACGCTGTCTCCCACCCTGATTCTGCACCCCGATCCCGCTCACTGGTTGCTCTGTCCACACTGAACCCCTCATTTTTGGCCCCACCCCAAGAGCATGGGGGCCCCACAAAATCCAACCTTGGAACCCCAGGAGAGTTAATCTGACCTGAGACCTTGAACCTCAGCCCTACCTACCCTCCCCCCACACAACAAGGCTGGAGTACCAGAGGAGGAGGTGTCTCAGTTGGGGTGCCACATCAGAGAGAGTTGGAGGTTTCTGAAGGGGCTGTTTTTTTGCTTCTCACTTGTGTGGTCCCCAACTGATTTTTCTGTGGGACAGTGTTCCCTAACCCAAAAAAGGTTCTTCAGGTAGTGTCCCCGTGGGTGCTCCACTGTGGGTGTCGGGTCCCATCCCGGCACCGCAGATCGGAGATCTTTTAGCTGTTGTTTGCCGGACCGCACGTGCGCGGTGGCCATCTTGCAGCTTTTCGTTCTGTTTCTGCATCGTGCAGTCCAGCTCGCCAGTTTCTCTCAACCGTCCACGGACACAGACAGAAAAACTGCTCCCTCTCCTGCTGGTTTTGATTCCTGTCAGGATTGAGTTCGTTTTGTTAGTTAGTGTTCATAGTTATAGTTATTCTAGTAGTTAGTTAGTTGTACAGTTTTAAAAGTTAAAAAAAAAATTCATCATAGTTCTAGTTATTCTTAGCAGTTCATAATGCCTGGATCCCCAGGCTTTAAGAGGTGCGCTCTCTGTAGGGACTCAATCCCCGTTTTGGACGGGCACTCGGCATGCATCAAATGCTTAGGTGAAGGGCACATTCCACAGAAGAGACCGCAAAATGCGGCTGAAAATGCTGCTTTTTTACAAGGCTCTTGCACCGCAGCCTGATCCTCTGACAGAGCCCGCCGGTCATGTCCTTACAAAGGCAGCCTATAAGAAAAGACCTTCCTCCCCGTCTTACTCATTACCAGCAAGAGTGAGTTCAGTGGACAAGCCAGGCACCTCAGGTTCAGCGGGGTCCTGCAGGCCAGAGAAAGAAAAACATGCCTGAAGTGTGTCGGTGCCGAGCTCATCTAAGCGTCCATCACATCGGGACAAGGCAATCCTGCCAACGCCATCTCCGGCACCGGAACACATGGTGCTGAAACCTTCTTTAGACACAACAAGAGTCAGGGCACCGTCCTCGCCCCCGGCACCGAGAACACAGTCGGTACCGACAGCCACGGTGCCTACGCCCTACTCGGCACCAAGAGCAAAGGCACCTACGCCGCCTCCGGCACCGAGAGCCAGGGCACCGACGCCGCCTCTGGCACCGAGAGCTAAGGCACCAATGCCGTCTCCGGCACTGAGACTTGTAACACCTTCAACTACTGCACTCAGTGATGCACCAGGGCCATCCTGAAGATCAACTCCACTCTGTGTCACCTATCCAG